TCTGTCCCCATACCCATCCCTGCCTCTGAGCCCTCTATGGGAGCCAGGATTCCTGGAGGTGGCAGGGTCCGGAGGGTACCCAGAATCCCTCTGACCCAGCCAAGCCTGGGGGGCCACAGTGGGCTGCGGCAGAAGTCCCACTGGGGGCTCCCTGTGTGGAGAAGCCCGGTGTTCTTTATCTGAAACTGCCCTACGGGGCTTTCTTCATAATCACAGCCAGCTACCAAGCGTTCTCCTGTGCGCTAAGCACCTCCTGGAGTCTGCAGCTTGACTGGTTCCTAGAGAAGGGGAAGAAAACTGTGGCAGAGCTGCAGCCCGTCTTCTGAGCTGTCACTGTTGGGAAGTCATAATGCTCACTGGTCCGGTTCCATCATGCTCCTCAGATGGACAGTCAGTCACCCTATGGGGGGGGGGGCAGTGGGGCCTGAGCACCCCTCCAGCCTTTTACAAAGAAATACCTCACTGCATCGTCAGCGCTACCCTCCATAGGACGTAAAAAAAGCCACCCTATCTATACTCTGGGAAAGAGCCCGCGGGCCACAGTGGCTGGACCCTGAGTCGGAGTTCCGCGACCTGGGAGGTTCCTACCCGCTCAGGAGCCGGAGTGCGCGCCTTCTCCGAGCCTTACGGTAAGCAAGGCGCGCAGAGCAACCACGTGGCGGCAGAGCCGAGGCCGGCGGGAATGCGCGGAATGCGCGGCGGCCGGCTCTGCTCCGGAGCCAAGGCCTAGGTTCCCGCGGTGCGCCTCCCGCCGAGACTCTCTTCCCAGTCCGGTTGCTACCCAGGCCCCGTGGCCGAGACCCTCAGAGGCAGGTCGAGCCCCTGCACGAGTACTCCCGCGAGGCTCGGGGACTGACAGTTTCGGCCCCTCACACCCCACGCGCCAGGAACTCCCCCGGGGGTCCAAACTCGTGTCCTGCCACCAGGCCCAACGGAGTGAGGCCTGGAGTCCTGCGGGGAGAAGTGCAGGGCGTTAAGGGTGGCACCTCTCTCCACTCACCTGAAAAAAAGTTCCTCCCCTACACCTCCCGGCAAGTGTCCAGAGCCCCAGGACACGGAGGGTCCCCATAACCGAGACATCACCACCCAGCCCCGGCTGGCCCTCTACCCATCCACCCCCAGGACCGTGGCAAAAGATGGAAACTTCCGCGTTTTGAGGGCAGAACAAAGCTGACTAGAAGGCAGGAGGATGCCGGGTCCTCCCTCAGTCTCCGAGAAGGGGAGAGGATGGGGGCCGGGTGACAAGTCCTAGAGGCAAGGGTAGGGACCTCAAGTCCCCAGCCGGGTAAGGATGGATGCCACAGGAGGGTCTCCAACGGGTGCTCCTGCAGGCAAGTCCCGTTCCCGCGAGTCGCTGCCCACCGCAGGTTTCCGAGGCCCCACAAGTCTCTGCAGCGGCAACCTTCCCCCCTACCCGGGGGTGGGGTCTGCTTCTCTGCGGGGGGCGGGTCTCGGCCCTGGTCACTTTGTTGGCCACCGGAGACTGGAAGACATGGCCTCTTAGGTCATTCCCTCACCTCCTGAGAGGTTTGCCTTAGTTGCAGTTGCTTATCAAGTCAGTCTGGGTGCCCACTTCGAGCCCCTTGGTCAGCGCCGTGTCCAGGGCCCCTGCAAGGCCAGGGAGTTCCTAGGAGATGGGGTTTCCGGCTGCTCAGAGCACCAAGTGATACATTTGGAGGGGCAACGTTCAGGGAAGTACAATGATCCTTCACTCCCGAAGGGCACCTTCTCCCTCTGGATCCTAGAGGCAGGGGAGCCAGCCCCCTCCCACACCTTGTTGGGGTTTGCTTTTTGATTCTCACGCACGCCTCGTCTAAGACTTCCGAAGGTGGGGGAGGCGTGAACCGACCCTGCATTCCACCATATTGACGACTGGGGTTCAGAGCGGGGTCTGTGTGTGGCTGAAATGAACAGATGAGAGGTAGAAACACACGTCCCGGGCTTGGTATGGTGGGAGGTGCGGCTGTGCCTGTGTCCAGCTTGTGACTGTCCCAGGTGCCTGGGGCAGAGGCTGCAGCTTTGGGACACCGGAGAACAGCACTAGCGTAGCCCGGGCGTAGCTACCGCCACGCGCACCACCAAAGCGAGCGGTCTGGGGGAAGGGGAGCCCGAGCGCTCCCGGAACCCTGCGGCCCTCATTCGGAAGCGTTTTTCCAGGACAATTTAAGGGCTTAACAAAGGAAAACTCGCAGAGCTGGAGCCAAGTCCTTTCAAGTCGCCGCCAGGTATGCGGCTGCAGGTGACCCCACCTGGGTGCGCCCCCCCCCGCCCTCTCGGGAGAAGGCGGATGCCCAGAGATCGGCACCCGTGTAAGATCTGAATTGGGCCCTGCACCCCCTCCCCAGAGAGTCCCGCAGGGCGACGCGCAGCCGCGCAGCGTCCCAGGGTCGGCGCCGCGGCGCGCGGGTTCCTGAATGAACGCGCTCCCTTCCCCCGCCTTGAATGAAGGTTCCCACAGCCAGGGACGGTGGCAAACGCGCTTGCCGCGGAATTCGCCCTCTCCCGGCCGACAATCCGCCTGAGCCACGGTCACCACGGTGGGGGGCCAGGGACCGAGGAAAGAGGGAAGGTGTTTTAAATTACTTTTGGATTTCCTTTCGAACCAACGTGGTTTCCCTACCGATTGGGCCGCCAGCCTTTTGTCTCCAAATGGTCACCAAGATATTAGTGCAGAGCACTTTAAATGAGCCCAGAATTCGCAGTTCCTGCTTCGTGGTGGGTTTTTTTTAAAGCAGTGTAAAATTAAAACTGCAACAGAGAAGTTTTTTAAAGTTGCTTTTCTCTTAGAAAAAAAATTGAAATCAAACGTACTCTGTCTCCTAGAAGGAGCAGCCTTCAAGGGCTAGGGGCTGTTGGCCCCCTTGGGGGCTCCGGGAAATGCAGGTCTGGGCTCCCTGGTGGGGGCTGGGCGGCCAGCGCTCCCCCCAGGGCCCCAAATTCCAGCGCCTCCCCCGCGGGTTCCTGGACGGCTCTTCACGCTCACTGGCCGGGCTTGCACTTTTGCGCCCGTCCCTGAGCCGGGCAATCAACGAAGTTCCTTGTAGAGATCTGCCCGGTCCGCCTAGTAACAGCGCCGCTCCCCCATTGGCTCATGCTAATTCCAGTTTCCTCTGCCTTTCTCCCGGGTTGGGGGGACGGGGAGGTCCCTCTTGGACCCGGAGCCCGTTTTGCCGGAGCGTGCGAGCCTCTTTCTGCCCCGCTGCCTCTTGCTATCGCTGGCCTACCTCGGGCCGCACAGGGGCTCACACGGGGCTCAGGCCCCCTAGACCCCCGGGACGGGAGCCGCCGGGTGATAGCACACAGCCCCATAAATCATCCGGGCGGCCGCCGGGTTGGGATTTTATGAATGAAAAAGCAGCCCGGCTGCCCTCGTGCGCGGGCTGATGCTGCAAGGCTTCAGCCAGCCCCCGAGCCAACCAGAGCGTGGGTGCCGGGGGAGGGGGCCACGCAGTGGGTGCTCCCTGCTTGGGCCACCCACGGCTTCTGAGGCGTGAGCCGAGGGTAATTACCCTCCTGGACCCGGAATATCTGTAACCCTAACACCCGCAAGGGAGGGGGCACGGAACCAATCAGCCTGGAAGTGGGGGTGCCTTGCCGTGGTGCGGGCGACCTTGGGAAGAGGGTGGGCTTTTTATCCGCGTCCTTTGAGCCTTTACTGTCATCGGGTACGGTGGTTCGACAACACCGAAATGTATTCAGAGGGAAGTAAATGAACAGTTTCCCTAATTTGGGGGAGGTATTGTAAAACTTACTAAAATGTTAAGATTAGGTAAAATACCTTTATTTTTGTAAAGCACAGAAAAGACGGAACCTAGTAACAAAACACTTTAAATATTCTTTTATACGTCTCTTAAATTTGCTACAATATTGAGGACCCTCATATAGTCACGAACATATATAGATTTTTGTTTAAAAATCATCCGGCCAGTACACCCGTTTCTTTAACTTAATTGCTCTAATTTTTGCCAGCCCCTGCCATCCCCATCAGGCTCACGAGTGCAGCCCTACGGCAGATTACGACAATGAAAAGGTGCCCACACCCCCAACAGAACCAATTAAGAAGCTTCCGGTGGTCTTGTCCCAGGCAGAGAGGCGACAAATATTACCAGCAATTTATTTTATTTTTTAATTTAAAAATGAGCTAGGACAGAGACCACTGTTTGGCTGCCTTCTAAACAGGGTGTCTTTTTTAGTAGTTAAATTGCTGAAAGGGGTGGGTTGGAATTTGGGGACCCCCGCAAGGATGGACTCGGCTAAGGTAGGAAGACAGCCGGCTGATCCCCCAGGCGGAGAGTTCAGATATTAGGAAATGCTGGCCACCATCTTGGGCTGCTGCTGGATTTTTCGGGCATTTATTTTGTTTTATTTTATTTTTCTGAGAGAGCGCATGCATGCTAGGCTGAAACCTCTTAAACGTTCAGGGTCAACCCCCAGGGCATTTGCAACGACCCCCCTGTGCACAGGAGCGAAGCCTCCAGCAGGGCTGTGGGCTCCACTGAGTGTCCCTGAATGCTAAATGGTTCCTGAAATTTACACGTGTTAATGAAAATGAAAGAAGATGTAGACGTTGAGATTCCTTGGCTGCCTCACCGCCCGTGGGTGCCCTCGTGGCGTTCTCGGAAATGCGCCCATTCTCCCGGCTCGGATATAGGGTGACGCCAAGCCCCAGAGTCCCCCCTCCACGCGGTCTCCCAACCCCCACCCCCGATTGCGTGTGGCCTGCCCGCCCTCCTAGTTGTCCCCCTCTGCAAAGCCACCTCCACTCCACCCCCAAGTCCCAAGGGACCCACTCCGGGAGAACGGTCCCCCCTGCACCCCTGTTCCCCAGCGGGGAGAAAGGCTGCCTCGGGCGATTTGCATTTCTATGAAAACCGGGCTTCGGGGGCAACTCCTTCGCGGGACTCTGCCCCTCGACGCTCCCCTGCGCTGCGCGCCCGCGCCCCCTCCCCCTGAGCCCGCCCCCGCCCCCCTCCCATTCTCTGCCTGGCTTTGATCTCCGCTGAACAACAGTAACGTCACTGGGACTACAGGGAAGTTTTGTTGGAAGTTGCAAAGTCCTGGAGCCTCCAGAGGGCTGTCGGCGCAGTAGCAGCAAGCAGCAGCGTCCGCCCGCTCCGGCAAGGGGCAGAAGAGCTCGGGGGAGCGCGGAGCGCAGCAGCTAGAGAGGAGCACGGACCGAACCCCCGAGCCACCGCCCGCCCCAGGCAGACCAACAGAGCCCCAGTCATGGCGCACCAGCTCCTGTGCTGCGAGGTGGAGACCATTCGCCGGGCGTACCCGGATGCCAACCTTCTCAACGACCGGGTGCTGCGGGCCATGCTCAAGGCAGAGGAGACCTGCGCGCCCTCCGTGTCCTACTTCAAGTGTGTGCAAAAGGAGATCCTGCCGTCCATGCGCAAGATCGTGGCCACCTGGATGCTGGAGGTGCGGGGCTTCGGGCGGCTCTTAGACTTTCCTGCACCTTGTTGCCCAAACTCACGTTCCTCTGCCTCACCTTCCCTTTTTCCCACCCTAACTTTGAAGTTTTCTGGGGTTGTTGCTAGGAATCGTATTTTCAAAAAATATAGATGTTGTAGGTATTTTTTGAACGAGGAGGGTGTGGGGGCATTAGAAATTCCTTTTTTCTGGGGGGGATGGGAGAGGCCGGGGAGGGGTCCCTTTGGGAAAAGCGAATGCCAGACGTACCCCAACTGGCTCGAGGGTGTGGGCTGGAAATTTGGGTGCCCTTTGTGGCCCCCGCCTGTGCCCCATCCCCGCTGCGCCGCCTCTGCGAGCCACCAAGCCACCAGCTCCAGGGGGAGGGGGCTATATTTGATTTTAAAATTAATATCCATGGACACGTATGCAAGGGCCGCTCGTGCCAGTATTATGCGCCATCTTTGTTCTTTTATTGCAGAGCAAAACTGTTTATTAATAATTGGGGGCAGGGTGGGGGCGGGGAGCGGCTAGCGAGGCTTTGGGGCCGCAGCGAGGGGCCGCGCGGATGCCGGGAACCGGCGGGAGGGGCGCACGGACAGAGCTCGGGCATTTTGGGGGGGCACCCCTCTCCGGAAGGGGGGCCCTTTGTTTAAGCAGCGAGTCCCGGGGCGCCCTGCATGGCCAGCCAGGGCCAGAGAGCACGCCAGGCTGCAAGGTCGCGTGGCCCCCAAGACACTGGGGGTTGACCCTTATTGGCAGGGGTCTCAGCTTGGGGGACCTGTTTGGAGCCAGGTGGAGGGTCGGATCACATTTAAGGTTTTCAGTGGGAGCCTGGGGTACCCGCAAATATTTTAAAATAATTTTTGAAAGTGCGGCGTGGTGCCCTTGCCAGAGGGAAACGGCGCCCGCGCCCAGAGGGCAGGGGGGCCCTGAGTTTGAATTCCTGGGGATCTCCCTGGAGCCCGCAACGAGCTCTCGACCCCCGGGTCGGGTAAAGGACCGCCCGACGGTCATTTTCAGGGGTGTTTTATGTACCTGATTATTTTTTAAATATTTTTAAATATTTTTTGAAAAGATGACGTCTGGGGAAATGTGGCGCGGCGGCCTGGGACGCCACCTTTGTGTCTCACAAGCGCTGTGAGCGCGGCGCCCAGCCCCGTGGCCCTGCACCCCTTTCGGTGCGACCCTGATCCAGGCGGGCCTCCAGCACCCACCCGGGCCGGGGTCCCCAGGGCGGGCAGCCAGCTCACAGCGCACGGCCCAATCGTGCCCGCTCCCGCCGGGCCAGCCTCCTGGGGACTTTCCCTTTCAGTTTCGGGGGGGTGGGTATTGGGGACACTCGGGGGAGCGGGACCATCACTGAAAGCGTCTGCAGCCCCCTGCCCGACCCTCCGCGCGCTTGGAGACTCCGGCCAGAGAGCGAGCGGGGGGGGGGGCCGGGGCGGGGTCCCGGCAGCGGCGGTCACGGCCCCGGTGCCCTGGCAGGTCTGCGAGGAGCAGAAGTGCGAGGAGGAGGTCTTCCCGCTGGCCATGAACTACCTGGACCGCTTCCTGTCGCTGGAGCCCATGAAGAAGAGCCGCCTGCAGCTGCTGGGGGCCACCTGCATGTTCGTGGCCTCTAAGATGAAGGAGACCATCCCCCTGACCGCCGAGAAGTTGTGCATCTACACCGACAACTCCATCCAGCCCGACGAGCTGCTGGTAACACCGCTGCCCATCGACATCCCGCTAGCCAAAGGCCCCCGGGTTGCGGGGGCGGGGGGGGGCGGGGGGACCCCATGGCCTGGGCCCCTCCCGGGGAGCCGGCGGGCCCCGGGTCGCTCCGGACCGCGTCTGCGCCCCTGGCGTGGCCGAAAAGTGGGCGGCGCGCGCCCTCTAGCGGCGCCAGTGCGCGTCGCGCCCCAGGCCTTGCGTGCGTGCGTTCCAGGCACTGGAGGGCTTTCTTCTCTACTTGGAAAGATCGGGTCCGCTGTGGAACGCGCCGCACATAACGCTCTTTTGGTCTGGAATTGCATTGTCCCCCACTTTCTGGATCCTCGGCGTCGCCATCCCCTCTCTCCAGGCCCAGGTCCCACTCCGCCCCCAAGAGCTCTCTGCTCCCCCTCTTCATGCCTCTTTGCCCATTTGTTTCCCCAGCACATGGAGCTGCTGCTGGTGAACAAACTCAAGTGGAACCTGGCCGCCACGACCCCGCACGATTTCATCGAGCACTTCCTCTCCAAGATGCCCGTGACCGAGGAGAGCAGACAGATCATCCGCAAACACGCGCAGACCTTCGTGGCCCTCTGTGCCACAGGTAGGGCCACTTGGCTGGCTGGCCTCCCTGCTGGACGTGCCTGGAGGAGCTTCGTGCACCCAGCCTCAGTTTCCCCATCTGAGCAGCCCCTCCCTGTTCTCAGAAGCACTCCTCTGCCCCTGTTCTGTTGGGCATGGTGGGGGGGGGGGTCGTCCTCCTGGGGCTGCCTGGCATATCTGCCTGTGTCCAGCCCCCGTGGCCTCTGCCCCCCACTCCAGGCAGGGGCCACTCCGTGCTAGAAGGGGTTTACACAGGCCGCCAGGCCCGCCTCTCCCCGCTCCTCCCTCTCTAGTCCTTCCCTGTGTCCTCCAGGAGCCTGGGCTTTGGGGCCCCCTTCTGGCCTCTCCCTGCTGGGCCACCTGCCAGAGGCGCCTCCAGGGGTGGGGAGCCCTGGCCTGCAGTGTCTGCACCACGTGCTCCAGGCCGCCAGCTGGGCCCTCCTTCGGGGGCGGCTCCAGCGGCCACCAGAGGAGCCGCTGCCTGAGGCCCTGCTTGGGGCGCCTCAGCTGAGCCTTGGGAGGGGCTCCGGAGCAGTCTGTCTGGCGCTGTGGCTGGGGGCGGAGTCTGCTGCTGTGGCGGGTGGGGGGGGCCGGGGGTGGGAGGGGGCGGGGCTCGGGGGAGGTCTCTCCGCCGTGCCTCCCTCCAGCACAGCCCCTGGCAGCAGCCAGCTTTTCCAAGCCCAGGGCAGAACCCCACCTCCAATGCGCACACACGCGTGTGCACACACACACACACACACACACACGCCTCCAGCTTCCCCCAGTCCTGCTCCTGATCTCTGTGACCCCTTTCTTACCTCCCTGGAGTCCCATGCCCCCATGCCGCCCAACTATGTGTGGTCCTGCCTGTTGCCCCGGTCAGGCCTCAGTTGTCACATCTGTCTGGGGCTTACCCCAGTAACCTGAGGACCACACGTCATCAAACGGGAGGCTGGCCTCTGGTGTGCATCACCTCCAGGGGGCAGAGCCCCAGCGTGGCATCACAGTGCGCCCTCCTGATGTCCACACTCTGGGGGCTGGCATTTCTGGCGTAGACCAGCGTTGGGACGGTTCTTGCTGGCCTCTCCAGCCTCCTCCAAGTCCTTCCCAGTGAGGGTGGGGACAGATGGAGAAGCCAAGGACATTGTTGGCCTGGATAGATCTGAGGGGTGGGGGCGTTCCAGCTCTGGCCCTGGGGTGGGGGCGGGGAGCCTCGCACAGGCCATCCCCTCTGGCTGGGCCTCCTCTTGAAGAGCCTGGCCTCCAGAGACTCCCAGCCTTTTATGGGACTGAAAGTCCTTCGGAGAAACAGCAGTTTCCTGGAGATCAGACAGCAAGTGGTTCTTGCACGCCCTCCCCACTGGATGGCTGGGGCAGCCTGGAGCCGCCCCTCCCTCACCCGAGGCCCGGGGGAAGCGGGCCCTGGCCTGCGAGTGCAGGCAGTGAGGGAGATGGCCCGGCACACACGCTGGCTCTGGCTTGGGTCCAGCTCCCAAGCTGCCGCGGTCACTGCGTGAGCATGGGGCCCAGCAGGCACCCTGACCACGTGCTCAGATACCTCTGCCCCCCAGGGGAGACTCAGCTTTTTGCACACATTAACTCAGAGGGGAGAGCAGGGAGCAGCAGACCCCTCAGAAGATGCTCAGGGCCCTGGTTCTGATCCTGCCTGTGCAGTTCAGAGATAAGGGGGTACAACCGTGCCCTTGGCACCAGGGGACTTCTCCCAAGGTGAAAGACGTAACTGAAGCGCAGGCACAGTCACATGACGTGGGGGTGCGAGCCACCCCCATTGAGAGGCTCCAGGAGGGGGGATCTGCTCCCCCCCACGCTTGGAGTTCGGAATTCCTGTGCACGCGTCACCTGGCCCTGGGTGTTGCTTTTCCTTAAAGAGCTCTGTCAGTGGCCGCCGGCGCCTTGTACTGTGGTGGCCGGTGGCTGAGGGCCCCCAACTCCCCTACGAATGTGCTGGGATCAGTGGCCTCTCCTGAGTAATTCCTCATCGGGTGCAGCAGAAAGGCAGCCCCGATGTCACTGCAGCCACTTAAGTGTCCTTATCGTCTTCCCTCCTTTTTATAGTAGACCCCGCAGCCCTTCAGGAGCTGGGGAGGGAGTGCCACCCGCCCTCATCAGATGGGGGGTCTCCCTACAGTTCCAGGAGGGAGCATGCTGGCAGAAATGACATGTGCCCCAAAGCACCTGATTTGGGGTTCCGGCGCCCAGGACTGGGCCCCCACTGGGAAGCCTGTAGGCTGTGTGGGGGTGTGTACGGCACTCGGGGCTTGCGGGGGGTGGGTCCCTAGAGGGCTACTTCCGGTCTCCAGTCCTTAGGCCACCGCAGACACTTAGAGAAAACCCCTCTGTTCCCCCTGGGGTTTGCCGGCTCTCAGACGTGCTCCAGCACACCTCAGGCTCAGGGCTGAGGGTGGGGTGTCCCCTCTTTCACAGCCACCCGTGACTGTGAGCCAGGCCAAGGCACAGGCGCCCACGCTGGGTGCATCCTGCCCTTGTGCCTGGGTGGGGGCCAGAGGCGGGTTTGGGGGCCCCCACACTTGCTCGGTCAGGCACCTTGAGTGGACACCCAGGCCACAGGGATCCTGCAGGGGTCACCACTCACGGGGACCTCGCCTCTCCTTATGCCACAGACGTGAAGTTCATTTCCAACCCACCCTCCATGGTGGCCGCCGGGAGTGTGGTGGCCGCGGTGCAAGGCCTGCACCTGGGAAGCTGCGGCAGCTTCCTGTCCTATCAGCGCCTCACTCGATTCCTCTCCAAAGTGATCAGGTGTGACCCGGTAAGTGGCCTTGCTCCCTCCTAGGCAGGCCAGGTAGGGGGGCTGCCTGGTCCCGGGCACCAGACACCCACCCCACTGCCGGGGGTGCTAACGGGAGGGGTGCTTTGGCTTGTGTCCGGGCCCTTAAAGATGACAGGATTGGGGTCACATGGGGGATGGGCAGGTGCCTGAGTTTAGGGGCACAGGACCCACCACAGGCCAACAGTGTGCCAGCTTCACCCACCTGTCCCGGGGGCCTCCAGGAAAAGGCCCCGAGGCAGGTCCTGCCAGTGACTCATGCCTACAGCCAGGAAGAGACACTTCAGAAGGACCCCTGAGGCCCGAGACCACCCTGTTTCTGACGGCCGTCTGCCACAGGCCACTGCCGTGACAGCCAGAGTCGCTCATGTCTCCTTAAAACCATTGTTTTGCCCCCGAGTTGGTGCTTTTTCTGAAGAATCAGCGTAACTACTAGGGCCTGTGGCATTTACCAAGTGACACCAGTGTCAGCCATCTCCCCCTGGGGACGCACGACCGCCTTGCCCAGCCCAGGTCTGGCTTGGGGTGCCTTCTGGGGGCCCCACTGGAGCATTTGGGAGGCCCTGGGCCCATCAGGGAGGGAGGGAGGGCGGGCGTGAAGCAGACGCAGGCCCACGCCGCACATTCTCCGGGAGGAGCTGCTGCCGCTGCCCTCGGCCTCCACCGGGGGAGGGGCGTGCTCACCACAAATGCCACAGGCATCTCACTGGCCGCCGTGGTGGGGGGCGGCCCGCGGCCCCCCTGGGCCTGAGACACAACGCCTGCCAGCCGACAGACCGGGGCAGAGAGCAGCCCAGGGTGACATTTGTTAGTCTGGTCGCCCAGTGGGACGGACGTTGCTCAGCTGGCACGGAAACGCCTGGGCAGCTGCGGACGGGTCCTGCCCTTCTCCTGGGGGGCCACAGTTGGCTCTTCACGAGATGGGGCTGCAGGTCCAAGTGGGCCGCTGGGAGGAGGAGACAAGGGCCCGGGAGCTGGCGGCTGAGGGAGCCCCTCCCTGCACTGCTCTGCTCTCTGCCCACCACACAGCTCCCACCCTGTCAAGTTACCAGGGGCAAGTCAACAGCCACCTCTAGTTGCCAGTCAAGAGCCACCCCAGGTGGGAGCTGTCAGGCCTGGAGTGGGGCTGTGGCAGTGTTGGCGCCAGTGCCTGGGCCTCAGCTTCCTCATCTGCCAGATGGGGCCCCTCTCACCTCCCTTGCCTGCCTGTCTGCAGCAGTGAATGTCACAGGCGGTGGGGGAGCCCACCCACTCTAATGTTCTGGCCATGGGGGGACCCTGGGGAAGGCTCGGGCTGCACAGCCCAGGCCATGTCTTCTGGGCAGCAAACCCGTGGCCAGGCCGTGGCCAAACCCCTTCCTGTGTGGAAGGCTTGACTCCAGAGTCAAAGTGTAAGCAGGGCATCCTGGGAGCTGGGGCAGGCAGCCCTGACCTCAGAGCAGCTCCCGGGCCCCAAGATTCCCCTCCCCCCTCAAAAACTCTCTTGGTGGCTGCCAGCAGCAGTCCGCTGCGAGCAGGCGCCACCAAGGCCCGTGCACCGTCCAGGCTCCGGGCTGCAGGCTGAGCAGGATAAAGGGTCCCGGTCCCCCGGGGCCACCCAGCATTCATTGTCAGTCATGCACAGCCTAACACTTTGGACGGCCATTCATCAGGGAGGCCTGCTTCACGGTGGGGCTGACATGGCAGAGGTTCAATCCAAAGAAGCAGGGTGCAGAGGGCCTCCCGGCCCTAGATCAAGTGGCTAGATTTGCCAAGGACGGTGGGGCCGAGATCAGAGCCTGGCAGAGGAATTCCATCAAGAGGGCCCCATGCACGGGGCCCCACTGCTGGGGACACAGGGACAAGGGGGGGGCGGAGGAGGCGCAGGGTGACAGGCCGATCTGTGCTCCCAGAAGGTAGCCGGCAACCCTGTGGTCTCTGATCCTGAGTGGGGCCACCCCTGCGTGCTTAGCGTGTGGGACGGCTGGTGGGGGGCCCCAGGTCGGCCTCCCTGTGGAAACTGCGCCCAGGCCATGGGTGGGGGGCCTCCTTCTGAGCACTGCACCCTCCGGCCCTCCCCCCACCCACCTTCTTTCAGGACTGTCTCCGGGCCTGCCAGGAGCAGATCGAAGCCCTGCTGGAAGCCAGCCTGCGCCAGGCCCAGCAGAGCCTGGACCCCAAAGCCGCCGAGGAGGAGGAGGAGGAAGAAGAGGTGGACCTGGCCTGCACGCCCACCGACGTGCAGGACGTGAACATTTGAGGGTGCTCATGGCCGGGGGGGCAGCCCCAGGTGCCACCCTGACGGGCATGGCCAGAAGGGGAGGCTTCCTCCTGTCGGTTTTTTCCTTTGCTCTTTCTCCCTTCCATCTCTGACTTAAGTGAAAGAAAAAAAAAAGTACCCCAAAACTACCTTTAAAAAAAAATAGTATTTGCATAACCCTATGGCGGGGGGGGGCGGGGGGGGCTGAGAGTTGTGCTACCCAAATAGAAGGCAATGCACCCACAGGCAGCCGGCTTTCAAGTTGAGAGCGTGAGCGTCTGTGCTGCGTGAGGGTGGGTGTTGATGCAAGAGGGCCGCAGGGGGCTTAGATCTGATTCTCTGTATCTGAAGCATAAACATGTACTTAGAATTCGACAAAGCATTTTAAAGTAGAAGGGCGTGTTTAGCTAGAAAAGCGTGTTCCTGTGCTTTTCCGAAGGAGCACAGCTTTAAGGCTGTAGGCATCTTGTATCTTGCTTGCTCATGCATGTAGTCACTTTATAAGTCATTTGTGTGTTTATTTTATCCATAGGTAGGCGTGTTCCCTTCCCCGAGTCCACGCTGACGGAACCCGTTGGGGAGCCTAGTGTAGCCGAGCGGCCCAGGGTGCCGGCCGGCGGGGCACGCCTCAAGTGCGCTTTTAGAGAGAAGCCTGTAGTAGTGATGTCATAACGCCTTATGTTTATAATCCTCCTGGTTTTGTAGCCGTCGGTCTAGGAGACGCTGGGTTTCCCACCTACCACACCTACAGCCCGGGTGTGCCCATGGCTTTTCCGTTTCCGCTCTGTGCCGCAGAAATGTTCCGTGTACAGCACTTTGGGGCCGGTAGTTCGAGGGAGGAGGGTCTCTGGTTCACGTCGTGTGTGGAGGGGGGCAGTTTCTTCACGGAATGGTTTGGGGGGCTGATGCGCTGGCAGGCAGGCAGGGCCAGCGCGCGCCCACAGGGGGCGCGTGGAAGGCGAGGGTCCCGGCCAGGAGAAAGTGTGCGTTCCCACATTGCCAGGGTCACGGTCTTTTTCTCTGTCGAGAAGTTGAAGGTTAGGAGTCCTTTGGTGCCAACCGGTGTTTGAAAGTAGGGGCCTTAAAGGTATACCTAGAGAAGGAGTAGCTTAAGGGTTAGGCAAGTTTTAAACACTAAAATATGTAATTTATAGTGAAAGCTAAAAAGAATATTTATTGCAGAGGATGTTGGTAAGGCCAGTATGATTTCTAAGGTAATGCAGTCTCCCCTTGATTTAAACTCACGCCAGCCGCCTTGCACGGGGCGGGGTTAACAGTGTTTAGAGAAGGTAGGTCCTTTTGTGTAGGAGGCGGGGAAGCCCCAGGAAAAAAAACACAGACGCAGTGATTCGGCCGGTTTGGTGTTGCCCAAAGTGATCCAGTCTGAGGCGTTGAGTTTCCGGAAAACTAGGGCACTCGAATCAAGCTCTGTTCTGGTGCATTCTTATCCCCTGCTCCCTCCTTAAAAAAAACATTACCGACCAGTAGACAGTTTGCACACTTGGCTGTGTCCCTTTGACCACCACTGAGTGGGGCGTGTTGGGGGAGGTGTTGAGGCAGGTGCTGGGAGAGGATGTGAGGGAGGGAGGGAGGGGGGTGGGCGGCAGGCGGGGACCCCGAGGGGCGGACTGCGGCTCTATTTCCCGTGTTTCTCCTGCATTGGCTGCTACCGATGACGCCCCAGCACGTCCGGTTCGGGAACAGACTCACTGCGCTTCTCTATCACATTGTTTTGCTGCTATCGGAGGATCAGTTTTTTCGTTTTACAATGTCATGTACCGCCATGTAGTTCTAATTTCTCATAGAAAAACTGTATTATGGATGCCTTTTTTTTGGTAGATTTTTTTTATGTGATCCATTTTGACTTAATGTGATTACCGCTCTATTCCAAAAAGGTTGCCGTTCCACGATACCTCATGCTTCACTTAGCCATGGGTGGGCCGGCGGCCAGGCTCGGTCTGGCCACGGCCTCCCGCTTCGGCAGACAGACGCGGACGAGGTCCCCAGAGGGCCTGGTGAGGACGGGCTCCAGCCGCGGGCAGGCGAGCGGCCACCCGGCGTCTCTGAGGACCAGCCCGTGTCCATGCCCTCTCCCGCGCCTGTTAGGCTGGACTCTCCCTCCGACCTGGCATTGACCATCCCGGTAGTTTTTACAGCCGTATTGTTCTTTGCGTATAGCTATGAAAGTTGCATTATTATTATTATTATTCTTGTTGTTATTGTAACGAGTGTGTCTTAACGCGCCACTGTGGTGCTGTGCCTAGTGCCTGGTCACCAGCTGCTGGAGCCGTTGGGTTCCAGGGCTGTGAGGTCTGTTGTGTGCTCCTGTTCTGTCTGTTCCGCTCACGGCCGGGGACGCTCCTTGAAAGAGGCTGCAGACCTCACCGAAGCCCGCACGTGGTGCTGCGCAATCACCTAGCACGCTGCCAAAGCAAAAGGCTGTGCGCCCTCGGCGGCCCTGCCCAGCAGGGCGGCCGGTGTGCGTCCGCTTACCTCAACCACTCTGGCTGCAGCCTCTGTGTCCAAACCAAACCGGACCAAAGTGGTCTGTCCCAGCAAGGGGCAAACGCCGTGTGCTCAGAGGCCGGCGAATCTGGGCGGGTCTCTGGTGGGTGGGCACTTAGGTCTGTGTGTGTTCTGGGTCGCACGCGTGGCACTTCCCAGCACGGACATGTAACCAGCACGTTTCCAGCGGAAAACAAGACAAACGTGGAAAGTCTAGAAATAAAATTGGTCAAACCCTGGTGTGGTCCTTGCCTGTCTCCTGGGGTGGGCTGGGTCCAATGTCGTGAGGGTGCCGTCCTCTGCACCGTGGGCTGTTCCGCTGCACCCTTCACCTCCACCCACCAGAGGACAGGGCCCCTCCAGCCTTGACGTTGCTACACCTGGGGAAGCGAACGCCTTGTCTGTAGCCACCCCAGAGCAGCTTCTGGCCCAGCGACTGGTGGTCAGGCCAAGTCTCACCAGTTCGCCCTCCCAGGGTATTTGCACAGGAGAATGAATACCGTCAGCCCCCGGTGGCCTCTTCCGGGCACAAACGGCTGCTGTTGCTCTTGGTAAACCGAGGCCCCGAGCGCATGGAGGGCGCAGTGTGTCCAGGCTGCACTTAGGTGGGTGTTTGATTGTGGCCCAGGAGGCCTGGTGGACACCTGTGAACCCACCCGCAGGTTCCACCCAGGTGGGGAGCACACTGGGCAGGTGCCACCAGGCCTGGGTTCAGCATCCCAGAGCCAGGGGTCCCCCTTCATCCTTGTCCCTCGGGGCCGTCAGCCCAGTGAGTGCTCAGGAGCCACTCAAGCCCAGGATACCTGTCATGGACGTCACTACATGTCAATTCACAACAGCCTCCCTGAAGCCCCGACTGGGCCCACCCTGCCCCTGGGGGCTGCCCCGGGAGCCTGCACGTTGCTCCCAAAGGGTCCCACGTGGCAGGAGGCCGAGGGCGGCAGGATCCAGAGCAGGCGCCCCAAAGGCCAGGCCCAGGTCCACACCATCATCAGGGCTCAATCCCGGGAAGAGCGAGGCACGTCTGTGGTCTGTCTCCGCAGACCACGTGTGTACAGTGAGGGGACTGAGTGGGGGCCCCTGAGGCACAGTCCTGGGGGTGGGGCTCCAGCAGGAATCGAGAGGAAGGGAGAACTCCCGGCACAGGGCAGACACGCGCAGGTCAGGGCTGCCAGCGCTTGGTGGCGCTTAATGTTTTCCAGATGGGAGATGTGTAGGCTGCTGGGGCGGACAGTGGAAGGGAGAGGCCTACACAGGACGTGCCCTTGTGCTGGGAGGGGGTGAGGCAGGGCTGGGGTGGGAGCCAGACCCAATGAGCCACAGGCCTGATCACACACAGAGGTCGGCCTGGTGAGGAGGGTCCACAGTCCCCCAAAGCCCACCTCCTAGGCAGCCCCTGGGGGGAAGCATCTAGAAGGTTCCTACTCGGCGGGTACCTCAGCCCTCCCGCCCACCCCCATCTCCTCCAGTCCCCTAGCCGGAAGTACCCACCTGCAGGGCACACCAGACAGCCCCCCGCCTCCGCTGCTCTCACGCCAGGCCCCCTGCAGGCCTCCACACCACGAGTGCTGAGGCACCAGGCCGTGATCCCCGGGCAGGGGCACCCTGCTGGCGCTCTCCGCCCCACTTGCAGCCGGCAAAGCAGTGGGCACTGGGGAGTGGGAGCTGTTCTGTGAGTTATGGAGACAGGGTGGCCCTGCCTGGCCCAGCAGGTGGGGGGCAGACTCGGTCTGGTGAGGAGGTGGGGGCAGAGGGCTCCCCAGCGGACCAGGCAGACCCAGAAAGGCCTGGGACCCAGCTAAGGCCAGACAGACCCACGCCGGGACCACAGAGGGCAGCCGCAGCGCCAGCCTCCCCATAACCCATGGCCCTCGGCCCTCGGAGCCTCCTGGAAGCCTGCTGCCGGGCTCTGCGTTTGGCGGGGGCAGTGGGCACGCCACGAGGCCATCCCAGCAGCGCCCAGGCCCTGCACGCTGGGCGGCCCCAGAGCACACAGAGCTCTGTCATCCCAGGAATGTCTTTGATCAGAGTTTATGGAGAGGAGGCAGGAGCGGGGCCTCTAATCCGTTCCCACAGCCCCGGCGCGGCGCCCCCCGGCCTGGAGCCACACCAGGGCCCAGCAGACAATAGCCAGCCACATCCGGGGGAGCGTCCCCCGCTCACAAGGAGGACGAGGAAGAGAACCCTGAGGCCCTGGACTGCTGGCTTCAGTCGGCGGCCTCAAGCCTCTCAAAGACAGTGGCGTCCACGACTCCCGACTCTCAGCTCAGGGAGCTGGGACAGGCCTCCCCGCCACAGGCTCCCAGAGCCGAACGGTTGGCCCCAAGGGTGCCCCACCCTGGACCCCAGGGTGGCCTGCCACATCTGGGCAGTCCCCCTGCCCAGCTCCATGGCAGGAGGGAGGGGAGCAGCTGACATTTCGCTCCCTCCTGGAACAGCTGACGTTCCCTCCTCGCTCCCACGGACTGGGCCTACCGTGTCTGAGGCTCCAAGTCAGCGGCCTCCGTGCGGAGCCAGCAGGGACCCCAGCAGGTGACTGCGTCTTCCTGGGGCCCACCTGCCGCCCAGAGGGGCTGGGACGGGCTCGGAGACAGACCCCCAGAGGAAGCACCGCCCTCGCTGGTGCACGTGGCCGTCTCTCATCTGTGTGTCTGTCCTCACAGTGAGCTCTCTCCACGTGTCTTCTCCCCACGGGCAGCCTCACTGCGTGAAGTGCCTGCCTCATCTCGTATGGCGTCCACTGCCTGGACCCTTCTGCAAAGGCTGCTTCCAAATGAGGCCCTGCCGACGGGTCCCAGGGGCTAGGGCTTCAGCATTTTCAGCCCACAGCGGGTGGGTCTGGGCGCCCACCACAGGGGGGACCACCTGCTGTTTCGGGGCGCTCACCCACCGGAAACAGCAGATGTTTGAAAACCCGAGGTGAAAGGGTGCCAGCAGTTCGCACGCAGGAAGTCCGCGGCTCAGTGAACATGGACGGGGGCTGAGGTTCCCCAGTGAGCGGATTGCGTTCCCGCGTGGACGGACAGAGAACCCCCTTCAGGCACCGCCCCAGGTGGAGCCACGGCCCCGGCACCCAGGGCCCAGCAGACTTGGTAACGGGCACCAGGGAGACGTGGCCACCTCGCAGGGGCCGTGGGCGCCCCGGGGACAGACCGGCAGGGGCCTCCATGTCTGCTGAGGAGTTCAATCTGCCACAGAGGAAGAGCTCTGCAGAAGTTCGAGAAGGAGCCACGCCCCTTCTTCAGGAAGGCGGCTGCGAAGCTCCCGCTGAGCTGCCCCGGGGGGCTCAAGCCCTCCACTGTAGGACTCTTGTGTCTGGTGACTGTTAAACACAGTCCCCCCCTTTTCTCTGGCCCAACACTCCAGCAGAGCTGAACGCCCCCAGGCTAGCTCCAGACTCCTGCTGGGCACCCCTCGGTGAGTGGCCGACAGCAGTGTCGGGGACTCTTTTCTGTGAGCCCACCCACTGTCTTAGCCTCAGGCCACCGGGACCAGAACCTGGTTACAGGGCCGGTAGCAGGTGAGCAGAGGAAAAGCGGGGCTCCCGTCCAGCAGTGCTGCACCCAGGCAGGCAGCCCCAAGGGTGGTCACTCGCCACACCCGCTGCACACCCCTCGACCGGAGGCTCCGCGCCTCCATCTGGGAAGCGGGGCACGGCCGCCTCACGGGGGCACTGGACAATTCAGGGGCGGGGATGGTCAGGTGCCACCCAGGGAGACTCCGACCCCTCCCTCAGATCTCTTCATTCTTTCTCACCACCCAGTGGAGGGAGGGCAGGGCGGGTAGGGGACTGGGACACTTAGGAAGGAGCTCATGCTGCTCCCGGGGGCAGGCGCTTCCCTTCGCCACCAGGGAGCCCCAGCGAGCAGCTCTACCAGGCGCACCGACTCGTTCCCTCCCCACCACTTCCACTGCGGAAAAACAAAATGGAGTGGCTTCAACTTCCTAGGGAAACAGCTTGCTCCTCTCCCCAGTCCCAGTCCCAAGTGCAGGCAGCAAGATGGCGGGGCGGGCGAGGAAGGGGGGGAGGATGCTTATGGTAGGTGGGGCTGTCCCCAGGCTCCCTGACCCCAACCCGCCCTTTGGAACGGGGCTGCACGTGGAGACAAGGTAAAAGCAAGTGCGCTCCAACCCCATAGGGCTGTCCTTAAAAGAGATCAGAGCCCCGGCTGGTGTAGCTCAGTGGATTGAACGTGGGCTGTGAACCAAAGGGTCACTGGTTCAGTTCCCACTCAGGGCGCATGCCTAGGTTGCAGGCCAGGTCCCCAGCGGGGGCCACTTGAAAGGCAACCACACATTGATGTTTCTCTCCCTCTCTTTCTCCCTCCCCTCCTCTCTCTCTAAAAAATTAATAAATAAAGCTTAAAAAAAAAAAAGAAGGTGCACATAGACAGGCGACCCATGGACAGGCGACCCTGCGGGAACAGGGAGGCGACGGCCGTCTGTACGCCTGGGAAAGAGGCCTCGGGGAGACCGGCCCTGCGACACCGGGGCCTCGGCCCCTGGCCTCCGGGATGGGGACAGTGTGGGGTTGGCGAGGGTAGACCAACAACACGCTGGGAGTTGGCAGCAGGAGGGAGGAAGCAGGCCAGGGCCCCGCGACAGCTATGAACCCCCTGGAAAGGGACGACGCCCACCCGAAGGGCCCGGAACTCCGGCCACTCTACTCCGGCCACCCTGGACGGCATGCGGGAGAGCCGGGGGCGCAGGACGGGGTCGGACGGGACACGGGGGGGGGGAGGGGGGCAAGCAGGACACCGGCATCGGGCGCCTGCCCACACGGCCTCGGAGACCTGGTCCACCATCGCCCGCCCCGGCTCCGCCGCACCCTGGGGAGGCCACATCTGGAGCTGGGTTGTAAGTTGCCTTGGTCAATCTGTCACATCCCCAAGGGACAACTTCCAAAAGAGACATACTCTCTCAGAAGCCCCCAGAAGACTTCCTCTACCACCTCACTCGCTGGAGGGGCGGGCAGGCGTACCCTCAAACGGGGTGCGAGGGACGGGAAGATGGCCCTGCCTGTGCGGGAATCAGAGTGCCTCTGGGGCGGCCAGGGACTCCTGGAGGCTGGGTCCAGTCCTCCAGGAGGGAGCTAGGCGGGCACAGGTCAAGTCCAGTGTCTCAAGTCCAGCGTCCAGAGATCTACAGGGCAGCCCAGCGCCCGGCGGTGGGGAGTGGAAGAGGGTGTGGCTGCCTGCCCACCACTCTACCCCTGCTCTGGAAAGGCCGCGGTTGGGGGTGGGGCGCAGGGAGGGGCGTGTGGGCGGGAGGGATCAGTACCCAGCACTGGGCCGGGTCTGCAGGAACGGGACCTGCCTGGACACGGCTCCTGCACGTGTCGGGGACACTCACAGACGGGAAGCTGCCCATCCCCTGTCCTCTGCGCCCAGGGAGGATGGCGGTGGCTGGATGTCGCCTTATGAATAGTCCCAGACTAAGTTTTGCTTTAAAATATGCTATTTATTGTGTCTCCAATAATAAAAGCGATACATTTATCAGATCAGGTAACAGAAGACACACACGGCCACCGAGGAAAGGGCAGACCCCTGACTCCCGGCCCTAGACAGCCCTGGTGGTCTGCATTCCAGGACCAGCGGGGTAGGCAGTGCCCAGCAGGGCGCCTGGGCCCTCGGGCTGTGGGTGAGGCCAGGGACTGAGCCGCGTCCTCTGCCTCAGCACCTGGCAGGCACAGAGTGAGGGATGCCACGTGGACCCCCGGGGACTCCCTGCTGGGGTCTCCGTGACTCTGGGGCCAAGGCCTGCGTCCAGGAGCACAGCTCACCGAGACGGTGTGGGCAGCTGTGGGAAGGAGCCGACTCGTGGCCCCCTCTTTATTCACTTCTCTCCCTGCTGTGGGCACCTTGCAGTGTGGCAGACACGGAACCCTGCGGGGGGGATGGGGCGGCCACACGCTCAGTCTTCAGCTGTGCACCCCCACGGCCACTTTCAACGCAGCGCAGTCCTGGCCCCATGTGGGCGAGGAGTGCAGCCGGGCTCTTGGGGCTACTGGCCACTCCTCTCGGCCAGTGCCCACGGGCCCCAGTTCCTGGGCCGGTACAACACATCCTGTCTCGTGGGCTGCGAGGGCAGTAAATAAAGCCGGGGAGAGGCGCGCACAGCGCTGGCCGCCTCCAGGGTCAGCAGATGTCAACGCCCTCCCTCACCCCTCACTACGCAACAACCCCTTGCTCCGGTGTTCACACAACTGCCCCTGAGTGCGGGGCCCAGGCTCAGGGGGTCCGACCTGGGCGGGGCCCCGGCTAGAAGCAGCCAGGCCTGCCCCACTGCGCAGGCCCGGCCAGGCCGGCGGACTCCGGGCCAAATGCACACGCCGGTCCGGGCTCTGCCAGGGCTGCACCCACACCCTGGAACGAAGGGCGTGACAGAGCACAGGCCCGTGCAGCACGTGGGTGAGGCCACGGGCGCGGGAGGGAGCCCTTTCCCTGGCCACACTGGGGCCCTCCCCCCAGAACAAGGGACAGCCGGTCATGGTTCTCCTTTAATCGCAGTTTTAAACACTGCACACACGGACACCGTTCCTTCGTGTTTCGTCTCGGTTCACCTGTCATCTTCAGAATGAAAGTCCGGAACGCTCCGCACTAATTTTAAAGTCTGGCTGGACATTTAGTAGTGAACAAAGCTGAGAACAACACAAAAGAAAAAAATTGGTTTTAAACCTTGTGGACTTTGACCCACGAACGAGAGTGCTAGCGTCTCTAGCTGCCGCACCGCCGCCACCGCTCGCAGAAGCCCTGACCCTCTCTCCGCACCGGCCACCACGGGCACCACGACCACACGCCACGCAGGCCCCAGGCCTGCACTCCAACCAAAGGAAACACGCAGTAAACAGACCTGCTTAAACTTTCCTCTGATTCTGTCTAAGTCTTCGTGAAGTCTGGCATAAGTGGGGTCATCGTAAGGGAACTTCTCAATCATCCCGATCAGCGACTCTAAGACCTTCACCTTTTTGCTGCAAGGCACAGAAATGCACGGTGTTTAGTCCTCCGCACATGCGGGCTCAGTTTACACAACCAGAATGTGATCACTCACTTGAAAGCATGGGGCGCGCTCCAGGCTGAGTTCAGGAGCCGCGTGACTCACTTCCTCAGTATGCTGCACGCTCATTTACCGGCGTACAAATGAACACACTCTCGCCCACAGCCACGCCTCCAGTGTGCACCGAGAGGACAGATGTGCCCCCGCCCTGGCCTGGGAGCTGGGAGACTGAGGCCCCCCACCAAGCACGCTGGCCGCTGCTCCCCTAGGTCACAGGTTCGAGCACAGGCAGAACAGGACAGGGCAGTGCGCTGGGCCCGACCCAGCCTGCCCCGGACCTGGGGACTTCCCAGGACCTGGACACTGGTCTCGCCGTGCAGGGCGGCAGCGGTGTCTGCAGCAGCCCGGCCCACCTTCCCAGGAAGACGGAGCTCTGCTGGCGGCTGGGCGGCGCTGCAGGGGCAGCAGCCCTGGGTGTGACCACTACCCAGCGCCCTCACGGGTGAAGTGGGGTCAACAGGGGCCTCCCCAAGTGTCAAGACCACAGGTAACCCACGGCAAGCGCAGAGCCCAGACCCCAGACCGAGTGGGCGCTTGGGCAGTGCAAGCCCCGCCTCCCGCTGCGCTCTGCAGGCCAAGCCTCTCTCCAGGGGGCAGAGAGGGACACAAAAACAGTCACGTGTGTGCACATCTGGGGAATGTGCCCCCAAGGGTCCTGAGGGGCCCCTCCCCTGGGCCACGCCGGGTCAGCTGAGTGCAGGACTATGCTAGCATTGGATTCATGGCAATTTCAAAGAACGCATCCTTAACACGAATCCACAGGCACTCAAAGCGGCCAGGACTCCCTGCGCACCAGCTCCATTTGCGGGTTTAGATACACGAGTGAGGGAGTTTGCCGGGGCGAACCCCTCGGGCGGGATAGGAGGGCCGCCTCTCTGAGAAAGTGTGGGACGCTGAAAGGGCAGAGCAGGCTAATTAAGGCAGCAAAGCCCCGGGTTTCCAGGGAGATGGCAGGCAGGGGCCAACACGTGGGAAATGGCTATGTTATAACTCGACAAGCAGAGCACCACTCATTTCCAACTCTGCAAGTGGCAACGTATTCTCCCCGTCAGGGCAGCCCCTCCAGACACGCCCGGCAGAGGCCGCGCTGTGGGCAGGGCGTGGACCACTCGGGGCTGGAGGACCAAGACTAGGGCTGCCCAAGCCCTGGTGTGGAGCCCTGGCGCTCAGCCCAGGCAGACCGTGCTCCACGTGAGGCTTTTCCCGGCCGCTCGCAGGCCAAGAAGCGCCTCCAAGTCTATCTCGAGGCTGCGGGCAGCAGTGCAGGGCGCCAGCCCTCAGTCTGAGATGCTGCCGCCGGTGGCACCACTGGTGTGACAGCCCATTTTCCGGAGTGAAGAAGCGATGGCAGGAGTTTCCCAGGGCCCTGACTTGGGTATAGAGCAGCGGCAGACCCTCGGCTTCCCTCCACTTTTCCAAAGCCACACTGGCCTGTCAACACCACCGCTGGCCAGCTCTCACTCCAAGACAAGGCTCCCGGCTGTGCCTCCAAGGCTCCCGGGCACTGCCTGTGGGTGGGGGCATCTGCCTGCCCACGCTCTGACGCACAGGTCAGGTACAGGAGCCCCTGCTCTGGGCCAGGGTTGGAGCCGCTGGGTGTGGGGCTCAGGGCCGCGTGCCTCCAGGTCCGCAGACCTGGTGCCGGGGAGATGCATGGAGGACTCCAAAAGTGTGCCTGCCCTCGTCCCTGCACGGGCTGGAGTGGAGGGCCACGCTCGGCTTTGCCTGCGACCCAGCAGTGCCGCAGGCTGCCAGTCACGACTCCGACCAGACCACAGGCCACCCTGCACTCCCGTCGAGTCCACAGAGAAAAATGCCCCCAAGGACGCAGGAAGCACGTCAGCTTCCAGCTACTCATGCAGACGAAGGGCCCAGGGACACAGACAAGCCTGAGAGCGAAACTCAAGCCATTTCAAACAAGATGACGAGTCCCATGGACGAACTGCCGCCTTTCTGCTCCCACACCCGCTGTCCTTGCACCCTTCCCAGGTTAGGCAAGGCCACCACACAGCAGGAAGATGCACAGCATCCTGGGCCTCAGGTCCACGAGCAGCCAGGCAGGACAACCAGACCGCGGGGCCCTTCACTGCAGGCCTCATTTCCAGCCTCAGAACAAAGACACAGGCGGCAGGGTCGCGGGACGTCTGCGGGCACTCCCAGTTAAGAACGGCCTAAAATAGCCAACGGGCACTCGGTGCTTCCGAGCACCAAGCACGTGTTAAACCCGCTGATCTCACGGCCAGACCGAGGCAGCCACGTCCAGCAGCTGGTGGGATGAGGCCTGCACTCCCCAGCGCCGGCCACACTGCAACTCCCGCACCCGCTGCTCCGGCGCTTCGGACACAGACACCACCCCTTTCTGCATTACTGTGTTGAAAAGGGACCCACAGGCCACCCTTCACTCTGGTGCCACCAGAAAGGCTGGGCACACGGGACCTCCTGAGGAAAACACCAGGGCTTGCCAGCCACCGTGCGCATGCCCAGGCCTTAGTACTTACGGTGGTTCCCCTTCACCCATGGGGAGGGTACATTCAAAGACCCCCAGCGGGGGCCTGAAACTGCAGCTGGTACTGACTCCCACATACACTGTTTTCTGCTGTCTGCACTCACACCCTCCCACTTAAAGGGAGCCCTTCACAGCCTCTCTTCGGCGTATCCAAACTGCCAACATCACTAGTCTTGTGCTCTGAGGCCATCACTAAGTAAAATAAGGGTGAGTGAACACAAGCCCCGAGACAGACAGCAGGACGGCCGCCCTCAGGCGGCTACTCAGCAGTGAAGAGCAGGGAGCGTCCACAGCGTGGATCCGCTGGACACAGGCACAACCCGTGTCCTGGGCAGAACGAGACAGGACGGCGTGAGATTTCATCACGGGGCTCCACTCCCAGTATGCACAACTTAAAATGCATGAACTGTTTACTTCTGGAATTTTACCACTTAATATTTTTAGACTACGACTAACAAGACTGCCTGAAACTGTAGCTAAGGGAGAACTACCTTGCTATTTCCTGTTAATCCCATAAAACGCTCACTGCTCGTGTCCTCCAGGTTCCAGACAAGGAGACGGAGACAGTGACTGCCCAGGGCCCTTGTGTGGAGGAAGGAAGAAGGCTCCAATGTTACCTGTCTTTCTCGGTTGCGCAGCTGTGCAGGAGGCCTCTCCAGGCGAAAGCAAAGCCCTGGTAGCATCCGATCTGTGAAGCCACAAAGCATGCAAGAGCAAAATTAAGAAGCAGCCACCTACACCTGACTCATCTCGGTCTCTACGTGGGACAGCCAGGGCATGTTTGTGCTGAGCGCTGGGCAGCGGGTCAGGCGGCCAGCCCCCAGGCTGCTCCGCCCAGGGCCCTGAGGCAACCAGCGTGCCTGCAGGGCACCAAAGGGAGAGGCAGAGTACGCGTCTGGGGCTGGACGTGACAGACAGCGTCGCCTCTGCCTTGTGTCACAGGGACACTGCAGCAGCCCCACGGGCGGGTCCATAGACAGAATGCCAGCTGGGTGATTCACCTCGCAAGCGGCTCCTCCGGCCCTAGTCAGGCCCAGCTGATACAACGCCGTCCGAGCCATGACCGCCTAGCTCAGTGGCTCTGGACCCCACTCTCTGACCCTCAGAATCAGGTGAGGGCCCACGTCCACTGACTCAGGCCCGCATGTTGTGTGGTGACTCATTCTGCAGCAACAGACACCAAATAGTCGAGGCTGCCTAGTCCGTGTACGCAGGGCCAGCTGACCGTGAGTGGGGGCCAGTGCAGGACGAAGGGCGGGAGAGAGGAGAAGTCACGGAACTCCACCCTCCGTGGGAACGGAGTACTTTCACGTGACACTGAGCACCCATCCTCTGGGTGAGGACCCTGCTGGCTAAAGACAGGCAGCACCAGGGCGCACAGATGGACAGGGAGGACTGAGGGCTGCTCTTCTCCCCAGCCGCATGCACGGGCACCACCTCTGCCAGCAGTACGCACCGTCAGCTCCATCAACACTCTGCCTGGTCTGCTCTCCACGCGGGGCCTGAAGTGCCGGCTCAACCAGTCTTCCTCCGATCGTCGAAAGAAGTTATAAACTGTGCCGGGAAAAGACTCCCTTCAAAACGGGCCTCCCACTCACCTCAGATCCGATTTTAGCTCCGTACACCGTGCCCTGCTGTCTTCCTTCGATGATACCCAAACTGCTGCCTTCTTCGTAGCCTTCCCGATACCCTTCCCCACGGAACCTGTGTCAGAGGAGAAGCTTGATCAAGTAACGGGGCCTTAAAGAGTATTCTTCCCGGAAACACTTTTCTCTCCCGTTACCCAGACTCAGCAAAACAAGACCCAGAATAGTAGAAAAAGTACTTTTTAACTTTACTATTACTGATTGATTTTAGAAAGAGAGAAAGGTCAGGAGAGAGGAACACTGATTTGTTGTTCCACTCATCCATGCATTCAGTGGCTGCTTCCCATATGTGCCCTGACCAGGGATCGAACCCACAACCTTGGTGTGGCCAGACAATGCTCTAACCAACGGAGCTCCCTGGCCAGGGCAAAAAGGACAGAACTTAAGTCAGAAAGTGTAGCTTCCGATCCCTGCTGCAGCCCCAAGTCTGTCCTCTAGCCAGCCTCTCTGCCTCTCAACACCCAGCGTGCCTCTTGTGCAGAGGAGCATGGGCTTGCTGGCAATTCCCTAACCTCGTGGGACCCGAGAAACATGCAGGGAAGTGTCAAAGATACACATTTGAGAGCCTTATCCTGATACTCAGTAGGTCTGCAGTACCACCCAGGGATCTACTTTTTGAAACCTCTCAGGTGACTGTAGTCTGCAGCCCAAGTCCTGTGAGTCTATAAGAGACACTACTCAGCCCACTCCTCCATAGAACTCTGCGATAGACACACAGAGCCTTTCATCACGTCCGAATAGACTAACAGAGATAAATGCCATCAGATCACCGCAAAGGGTACAGTGACTGTGGCGTGTGCAGTACAGTAAATGCTCTGACTCCGAGGGCTTGGGAGTAGAAACAACACCAGCATAACTGCAGTCAACAAAGGGGAAAGGAGTTGGCTGGAGTCGGAGTAAGGCAGGCTCTGTAGGTCCTGCCTATTGGTTGTGTGACCCTGGACAGTGGCTCTGCCTCATCTGCAAGGCAGGCTGATTAATAGGAGCTACTATAATCGATAAAGGGGAGGTAACACTCCAGTCCGTGTCAGAGTCACAATAAGCTCTAAATAAACGTCAGCGACTGGCTGGCATCCCTTGCTGTCTTAGAGAGGCACAAAGCAATTCACAGCCTCCCTGGTCACCGCCCCAGGCGCTCCCCAGGGGCTCAGAAGGGAAAGGGGTGACGTCTGACACATTTATCAGCACGTCAGTGAATGCTGCCGTATGTCCCACCACGGAGGAACAAGAAAAAGGGGCAGTGTCCAGATGGCAAAGGTCTGTCCCAGCCGGCGTCCCTGGAGGAAGGCAGTCATCAGCCCGAGCAGCTGCTGGGGGCAGCCGTGGACGGGGGAGGAGGATCTGCGGGAGCAGCTGGACGTGTGGCGCCCGCCCCAGCGGCCGAGGGGTGAAAAAGGATCAATAGCGTCTTGGCCCCACACGTGTCCGCCGCCCTCAGGGCCACAGAGCGCTCCTCCAAGGCCCACGCCCGCGGGACCCCAGGCCCGAGCGGCCACCGCAGCCCAACAGCTAAGAGCGGACCTGACAGGGCAAGGACTCACCTGTCATCCGCCATCACGATGGCATCAAACAGGTCCTCACTCCCGGCCATGGCGGCAGCCCGGCCCGACCCTGCCCGCGAGCTGCGCCAGCGGGCGCTGCGGCCAGAGCGGCCACAGCAGCCACTCACCACGCGAGGCCCAGACACAGACTCACCGCTTCCTAGAAAGTGAAGCCCACTTCCGGGAACGGCTGCGCGAAGCACTCTGGGTAAGGACGGCATGCGGCAAGGTCCATTAAGTGCAGGAGCGAAGCCAGAATGTACGCGCTGGGACGGCACTGGGCGGGGCTGGGAGGGCAAGGAGCCTCGCCCCCGCAGCCTCCTCCCCCCGCCCCCGCAGCCTTCTCCCCCCGCCCCCGCACTGGGGCCTTCAGGTCCCAGGGGAGAGCATCTAGGTGGTTGCAAAGGTGGGCGTGTGGCCCGTGTTTTCGGGTTACAAAGCCCAGCGAGTGGAACCCAAGTGCCTTAAGAGGCTCGGGAAGAAACTGTGGTCGGGACCAGCTGGCTCTGCCCCAGGGATTTTGAGATGAAAGCTTCCAGCAAGGGCAATTCCCGGGTGGCCGTGGAACCCTGCCCCACGTGCTCTCTGACCCCGACCCACAGCTGGAGGACGCTTTCCAGAGCAACGTTGGACTGCACACCCCAGACTAAAATGCCACCAAGTCCACGTTGCCAGTAACCCAGGGTCCGCGGGCCTTGGCTCAAGAGCCGCAAGGCCGCCGAGGCATCAGGGTAGCAGCGCGGCTGCCCTAACGCTGGCCGGACCGGCACTGAGAAATGTTGCTATCGCTCTTGAAATGTTAAGTGATTCGAAAACTGGAAATAGAAGTTTTTGTGCTCTTTTTCCTCCCCCGGCTGTTGTTTTTCAAGCAAAAGCAGAGTAACTCATAAGTCATGCAAAGTCCAGAATCCAACCGTCCTGCAGGGTTTGTGAGGAAGAGCAGCCGGCGCCCCCACTCCCGCAGGAGGCACCATCATCCATTCCCGCGTTTTAAAGCATCGTTAACAAGAGTTTCACTTCAACCAATCGTCCTTTCCGTGAGAAAGACTTTCCAAACACGATTTTTGAAAGGGCGCTTCAAACTGTCGGCGGCAGGGGAACGCAGGGGGGGACTGTTAGAGTCGTTCTCTTTCTCCGTAAAATGAGACAAAAACTGGTGCCCACCGAACATTCCCTACGCGGCCTAACCCCTGCAATAAAACGAGAAAACAGAAGCCCAAGAGTCAGAAGGAAGCATCGTTGTCTGTAGGTGTGTGATGGCCCATGTAGAACTCCCAAAGTGAGCGTCGAAGACATCCTCAGAACCGGTTGTAGAGTTGAGCAAAGAAAGCACTTGTTTTCTGTTATTCTAACACTAATTAATGGTGGCCAGGCAGGAAGGGCAGGGAGTCCGCTTCACAATGGTCACAATAAACTGCTTAGAAATAAGCTTTGAGACGGATCTGGGTGCAGAAAACTACCGACGTTCCCGGACCCTGGGTAGGAACAAACACAACCAGAATTCCACACCATCTGGGGGGGGGGTGTGGGGGGGCAATGCATCGTAATTCTAAATTTCATCTGGGTGAATAAACTGACGAGAATAATTAAGGTGTTTCTGAAAAAATGACATGGAAAACCTGTCATACTGGATACGAATCGATTGAAATATTGCAGTGCGTTCGTTCCAGAAGAGGCAGATAAATGAGATAGAGTAGAACGACGGCCCAGGAGGAGATGCTAGGAGACGTAAAACCTGATCGCATGATATAAAGAAGCAGCACAAATTAATAGAGAAAGGAACATACATCGGCCACTATAATGGGGAAATTAGTGAGGAAAAGTCGAGTTCCTTTCATGTCTCACAGCATTCGTTAAAGTCGTTCCAGACAATCAAGGGCAACTTTTTAGTGGGCATTTGATAATCTAGGTGGAACATCCAGGGGAGTGCGGAGACGCATTTTTAATACGGGAAAAGCCAGGGAGAAAACCACACAGGGAAAACCTTCGTGTGAGAAAACCTTTCTTACACAGCGATGCAGACCTCCACACTCCAAATGTGCTAATAAAATTAGAAACCAAAGAACAACCTGGGGGTGTGTTTGTCGTGAAGACTGTAACTAAAGAACTCATGGATTTCTTATACAGAACTTGCTCAAATGGACAGGAAATAAATGCTCCCTGACATGAAGGAAAACGAAAAAGAACAGGGGCGGCCAGGGCAGTCCACCGCAAAGCAAGACCGACCGCCTTACAGATAACCGCAGGTGTTACCTTTGAACACTGTTTAAAACAAATTCTTTTTTTGTTGGAATGGAAAGATACTGCCATTGCCCACAGATGCGTAAGTTAAAGCCACCTTCATGTTGGGCAGCAAGGAAATATAGGAAGGACGTTTTAAAGTTTTTTTGTTTTGTTTTGTTTTTTACGTTTGACCTAGCGCTTTCCCTTCTAGGATTTCATCTCTAGGATATAATCAGGGGGAAAAGTGACTTTTTTTTTTTTTTTGCAGAGTGATGTTCGTTGCAGCATAATCTGTAAAAGCCAGGGGAAGAAAGCAGCTTCCAGTAAAACGATGGCTCCTTTGGGGTCGTAGGACAGACACACAGAAGGTTCGTAGGCAACAGCCAAAAACAAAAGTAACGTCACGGAAAATGAAAACGCTCCTGATGTTTAAGGGGAAACAAACGAACTACATCGGCTCTCGTTCTAATTACATCAAACAATTACGTTGCTAGAAATAATGAAAGTACACCAACTCCTTAACCTCGAGTTGATCTAGATTTTAGAATTGCAATACTAAACTTTCATCTTTCCTGTTTCCTTCGTGTTTGTGCAGTGAACGTGAGTTTCTCTTTTCAGCATAAAGAAACTCAGTAAAATATATTTTGGGGAAGATTAAATTAAATAGACTGCATTAGTTTGTTCTTACAGTGTCTTTTTATTTTTAGTTGATTTTTTCATAATTGAACAAAATCACAAAACCTTTGGAATGTTGAAAAAAAGGGCAAAACAAGCAAGCAAACAAATCTGCTCTCCCTAAACCGTGGCTGCCAATAAATTTTTGCCATTTTTTAAAATCCTCACTGCAGGATGTTTGTATTGCATTTAGAGAGAGGAAGGGAGGGAGAGAGAGAAACATTGATGTGAGAGAGAAACATGGATCGGTTGCCTCCCGCACCGGCCCGTACCGGGGTACGCTCCTGGACCGGGGTGCGTGTCCGAGCTAGGGTACAATCCCAGACCGGGGGTACACACCTGACCCGGGATAGGCTCCTGGACCAGGGTACGCGCCCTAACTCGGGTACGCACCCGATCTGAGCACAATCCTGAAGCAGGTACGCACAGAGCTGTGGTACAATCCCAGACCGGCGCTTGCGGCTGAGCCAGGGTATGCTCGGACCAGACACGCGTCCGGACCAGGTTATGCTCCAGTTTGGGATATGCTCCCGAGTCCAGATACGGCGCTCCAGGACCGAGACACGATCCTGAGACGGGATACACTCCCGAGTCTGGATACCGAGCTTGCGGACCCGGACACGCTCCGAGACGGGATACACTCCCAAGTCGGGATACCGAGCTCGCAGACCCGGACACGCTCCTGAGACGGGATACACTCCCGAGTCGGGATACGGCGCTCCAGGACTGAGACACGATCCCGAGACGGGATACACTCCCGAGTCTGGATACCGAGCTTGTGGACCCGGACACGCTCCCGAGACGGGATACACTCCCAAGTCGGGATACCGAGCTCGCGGACATGGATACACTCCCGAGATGGGATACACTCCCGAGTCGGGATACGCCCCCGAGCCCCCGAGTCAGGATACGGCACTCACGGACCCGGACACACTCCCGAGACAGGATACGCCCCCGAACCCCCGAGTTGGGATACAGCTCTCACGGACCCGGACACGCTCCCAAGACGGGATACGCTCCCGAGTCCGGATACCGAGCTTGCGGACCCGGACACGCTCCCGAGTCGGGATACGGTGCTCTGGACCCGGATACACTCCCAAGTTGGGATATAGCCCCGAGCCCCCGAGTCGGGATACGGCTCTCACGGACCCGGACACACTCCCGAGACGGGATACGCTCCTGAGTCAGGATACGCTCCCGAGTCTGGATACCGAGCTCACGGACCCGGACATGCTCCCGAGACGGGATACGCTCCCGAGTCAGGATACGGTGCGCTGGACCCAGATACACTCCCAAGTCGGGATACTCCCCCGAGTCCCCGAGTCGGGATACGGCGCTCCGGACCTGGACACACTCCTGAGACGGGATATGCTCCCGAGTCGGGATACCGAGCTCGCGGACCTGGACACGCTCCCGAGATGGAATACACTCCCGAGTCGGGATACACCCCCGAGCTCCCGAGTCGGGATATGACGCTCAGGACCCCGACACGCTCCCGAGAAGGGATACGCTCCCGAGAAGGGATACGCTCCCGAGTCGGGATACTGAGCTCGCGGACCCCCAGATGGAATACACTCCCAAGTCGGGATACTCCCCCGAGCTCCCGAGTCGGGATACGACGCTCCGGACCCCGACTCCCCGGGATACGCTCCCGAGTCGGGATACGCTCCCGAGTCTGGATACCGAGCTCGCGGACCCGGACACGCTCCCGAGATGGAATACACTCCCGAGTCGGGATACACCCCCGAGCTCCCAAGTCGGGATATGACGCTCAGGACCCCGACACGCTCCCGAGAAGGGATACGCTCCCGAGACGGGATACGCTCCCGAGTCTGGATACGGTGCTCTGGGCCCGGATACACTCCCAAGTCGGGACACGCCCCAGAGCCCCCGAGTCGGGATACGGCTCTCGCGGACCCAGACACGCTCCCAAGACGGGATACGCTCCCGAGTCCCGATACCGAGCTTGTGGACCCGGACACGCTCCCGAGACGGGATACGCTCCCGAGTCAGGATACACTCCCGAGTCTGGATACCGAGCTCACGGACCCGGACATGCTCCCGAGACGGGATACAGCTCTCGCGGACCCAGACACGCTCCTGAGACGGGTTACACTCCTGAGACAGGATGCGCCCCTGAGCCCCCGAGTCGGAATACGGCGCTCGCGGACCCGGACAAGCTCCCGAGACGGGATATGCCCCCGAGTCGGGATATGCCTGATCTGGGTACGATCCCGGATCAGGTATGCA